GCATCGGCAATTGCAGTTACACAGAGAGTGTTGTTACTTTTCAAATCGCTCCGTCTTAATTGCCTTCAGAAACAACTGGTATGGCTAATTCTGGTGAGAAAATCTGGTTAAATCAGGCTTAATCAGGCTGGGTAAAACCAGGCTTAATAGCAATAACTATGAGAGGGATCTTGGAGTCTTACAGGACAACCAGCTAAATATGAGCCAGTAGTGTGCAGCAGCAGCCAAAAAAGCTAATGCAATCCTTACCTGCATTAACAGAGGGATACAATCAAGATCAAGTGATACCAGTCTGTAAAGCCTTAGTAAGACCACACCTAGAATACTGCATCCAGTTTTGGTTACCACACTATTAAAAAGATGTTGAGACTCTAGAAAAAGTGCAGAAAAGAGCGACCAGGATGCTCTAGGGGACTAAAGACTAAAACATATGAAGAACAGTTACAGGAACTGGGCGTGGCTAGTCTAGTGAAGAGAAGGACCAGGGGAGACATGATAGCAGTCTTCCAATATTTGAGGGGCTGCACAGAGAGGAGGGGGTCAAGCTGTTTTCCAAAGCACCTGAAGGCCAGACAAGGAATAATGGATGGAAACTGACCAAGGAGAGATTCAACCTAGAAATGAGGAGGAACTTTCTGACAGTGAGAATCATCAACCCATGGAACAGAAGTTGCCTTCAGAAGTTGTGGGAGCTTCATCGCTGGAAGCTTTCAAGAAGAGATTGGATTGTCATTTGTCAGAAAAAAAATTTTTTTGCTTTAATTTATATGCCGCCCTTCTCCGGAGACTCAGGGCGGCTTACAATGCGTTAGGCAATAGCCTTCATACTTTTGTATATTTATACAAAGTCAGCTTATTGCCCCCACAAACTGGGTCCTCAATTTACCTACCTTAGAAAGGATGGAAGGCTGAGTCAACCTTGAGCCTGGTGAGATTTGAACTTGCAGTAATTGGAAGCAGCAGATGTTAATAACAGTGCTTTAGTCCACTGTACTATCAGGCTCTTGGTGTAGGGTTTCCTGCTTGGGCAGGGGGTTGGACTAGATGACCTACAAGGTCCCTTCCAACTCTGTTAATCTGTTAATCAAAGCATTCATGGTGCCCCCAAGCCGCACAGAGCAATCTGATCATCTGCAGGAGGTGTTCAAAAAAAGTCACAACGGAGGCACGGCTGTGCCATCGAAGCAACAGGTGGTTTTCACGTGCATTAAAAAAAAAAAACCCAAACCAGGCAGCACTTTGGTGGCATTGCGGTGGCCGTCCCTTGTCTTTTTGGACTTCTCTCCGCAGACCTCCTCCACCCTCGCAGGGGCTCACACCCACCACCAAGGGGGCTGCTGTATTTTACATGAACGGCGTTTCTGGATGGGCTGCAACAGCAAGCCTAATTATAGTTTGCTGCAGCAGCCGGCCTTTGGCCTAATCTCTAGGCAACGTAGACTTGCACAAGCGTTTAATTGAACACATGAAGCCCACCAGCCAGGATGAGGAAAAGCAGAGGTTGGAGAGACATTCAAATCCATGCGCTTGGGCAGGGTTGCCCACACCTGCTTGCGGAGACGGTGCCAAGCTTGCAGGTTTCACCAGCAAAGCCTAGTTGGAGCGAACGCAGCAAAAGTGGGGAAGGCTGGTTTGTTGGAAGCGGGGGAAGATCTTTGAAATCAGAATAGAGTTGGAGCAGTGGTGAAATCTAAAATTTGTTACTACCGGTTCTGTGGGCGTGGCTTGGTGGGTGGGTGGGGTGTAATGTGACTGGGTGGGCGTGGCCTTTTTTAAAAAAAATTTTAAAACCATTTTTTCTACAACCTCTTCGGCGAAGAGGTTGTAAAAAAATGTTTTCAAAAGGCTCTGACGATCCCAGCTGAGTTGCCTGATCGGCAGAGGCTTTTTTCCCTTTTAAATGCCTCTGCCGATCAGGCAACTCAGCTTGGATCGTCAGAGGCATTTAAAAGAAAAAAAGGGTTTTTTTTCTTTTAAAAGCCTTTGATGATCCCAGCTGAGCCGCGCGATCATCAGAGGCTTTTTTTTAATTTTGAAAAGCATTTTTTCAGCCGAAGAGGTTGTAGAAAAAATGCATTTAAAAGTAAAAAAAAAAAAGCCTCTGATGATTGTGCGGCTCAGCTGGACATGGGGGGGGCAGAGATTTTTGCTACCGGTTCTCCGAACCACCCGCCTCCACCGCTACCGGATTGGGTGATCCGGTCCGAACCTGGAGGTCTTCTAGTCCAACCCCCAAATGACCCTATGCCATTTCAGACAAGTGGCTGGCCATTCTCTCCTTGAAAACCTCCAGTGATGAAGCACCCACAACTTCTGAAGGCAACTTCTGTTCCATTGGTTGATTGAATAATCAAAACTGTGAGCATCGTGAATGTTCCTTCTGGGGCCCAGAGCAGTGGTGAAATTCAAAAATTTTCCCTACTGGTTCTGTGGGCGTGGCTTGGTGGGCATGGCTTAGTGGTCATGTGACCAGGAAAACCAACTATCACACTTTACACAAAAATAACACAACGGCTACACAACTGACTCACACACAATGCAAAAGCAGCTGGACTTCACACAAAATGGCCCCTGCAACAAGCAGGAAACTCACAAGAGTCACAGAGAGCTCACAAACAAACTATCACATTTTACACAAAAATACCCGTTGGGCAACAGGTAGTAAAAAAAATGCTAAAAAAAGTTTTAAAAAAAGTTTTTAAAAAAGTTCAGGCGATCAGCTGTGCCGTGCGATCGTGGGAACTTTTTTTTTTTTAAAAAGCATTTTTTTTATTACCGGTTTGGGTGAACCACCCCAAACCGGAAGCATTTCACCCCTGGGCCAGAGTAGAACCTACATAACATGTCAAGAGAAGGCAATATTGTACCAGAAAGGTTATTGGTCCGACCTATCAGATGGCCATTCTGTGTGGCTCTATATCAGGGATTGCTGACTTGAGGTCCTCCAGCCAAATTTCTAATTGCTTTCAATTTCAGAAGCCTTCTGGAAACCAGTTGTTCAGCCCTGTGGCAAGATAGATGGACAACGAGTTGTCCAAAAGATAGATAAATAATGGGTTTATTTATGTGCACATTTCAGGGGGGTCCTGCCCATTATTTTTTGTTAAGCTTCAGCCATCATTGACAAGCATCCATTTGTCTCTTCCATCTATCACCCATAGAGCATAGAATCATAGAATGACAGGGTTGAAAGGACCTTTGAGGCCATATTTACACCTGCAATCTAGGTACAAGAAAGACTAGGTGGAAGAATACGGAATTGACACGGAACCAAAACAACTAGACAAATTGTTGATAGGCCCCAAAGAAAAATTAATATCCAAAATATACAATTATCTATTAGAATTTGATAGAGTAGAGGAGGTGGTGAAAGAACCGATGATTGCATGGGCTAAAAACATAGGGCATAATATAGATTTAGAGGATTGGGAAAGAATTTGGAACAAAAATTACACTATAACAAAATCCGCTGTTTATAAGGAAAATCAATACAAAATGTGTACCGTTGGTACCTAGCCTCAGCAAGGCTGGCTAAAATGTACTTGAATTTAAGCCCAAAATGTTGGAAATGTAACCAACTTCTTTCATGCTTGGTGGCTATGTCCTGAAGCGAAAAAGTACTGGACTAAGATACAAGGGTGGCTACAAGAGATAATAAAATGGAGGCTTTTCAAGAAGAGATGGACTGCCATCTGTCAGAAATGGTGTAGGGCAGTGGTTCTCAACCTGTGGGTCGCAACCCCTTTGGGGGTTGAACGACCCTTTCCCAGGGGTCACCTAAGACCATCGGAAAACACATATTTTCAATGGTTTTAGGAATAATTTTATGGTTGGGGGTCACCACAACATGAGGAACTGTATTAAAGGGTCGCGGCATTAGGAAGGTTGAGAACCACTGGTGTAGGGTCTCCTGCTTGAGCGGGGGGTTGGACTAGATGACCTACAAGGTCTCTTCCAACTCTGTTAATCTGAATCTATCTAAAATGATCAAAGACCTGGAGGCTAAAACATACGATGAACGGTTGCAGGAACTGGGCCTGGCTGGACTAGTGAAGAGAAGGACCAGGGGAGACATGATAGCAGTGTTTTAATATTTGAAGGGCTACCACAGAGAAGAGGGGGTCAAATTATTTTCGAAAGCACCTGAAGGCCAAGCAAGGAACAATGGATGGAAACTGACCAAGGAGAGATTCAACCTGGAAATAAGGAGGAACTTTCTGACAGTGAGAACCATCAACCCATGGATCAGAAGTTGCCTTCGGAAGTTGTGGGAGCTTCTTAACTGGAGGCTTTCAAGAAGAGACTGGACAGCCATCTGTCAGAAATGGTGTAGGGTCTCCTGCTTTAGCAGGAGTTTGGACTAGATGACCTACAAGGTCCCTTCCAACTCTGTTAATCTGAATCTATCTAAAATGATCAAAAACCTGGAGACTAAAACATATGAAGAACGGTTACAGGAATGGGGTATGGCTGGTCTAGTGAAGAGAAGGACCAGGGGAGACATGATAGCATCTTCCAATATTTGAGGGGCTGCCACAGAGAGGAGGGGGTCAAGCTGTTATCCAAAGCACTGAAGGCCAGACAAGGAATAATGGATGGAAACTGACCAAGGAGAGATTCAACTGGAAATAAGGAGAAATTTTCTGACAGTGAGAGAACAATCAACCCATGGAACAGAAGTTGCCTTCGGAAGTTGTGGGAGCTTCATCACTTGAGACTTTCAAGAAAAGATTGGACTGCCATTGGTCAGAAATGATGTAGGGTCTCCTGCTTGAGCGGGGGGGTTGGACTAGATGACCTACAAGGTCCCTTCCAACTCTGTTAATCTGTACTCTTCAGCTGGCTCTGCGCTCGGGAAGGGGACGGAAGGAGCGCGGACAAAGCCGGGCATCAGGAACCGGGAAGAAAGCGCCTCCCCGCTCGCTGCCTCCTCGGCTTGGCCTCTCCTCTCCTCTCGCCGCCAATGAGCAACCCTGGGCGGAGAGCAGCGGCGCCCAATGAAGCGGCGGCAGGAAGCGGAGCTAGGGCGCACGCGGAGCCCGCCGGAGGAGGCTTGGCCTGGCTTGGCTTGGCTTGGCGGCGGCTCCGTTGGAGGAGGAGGAGGTGAGACAGAGCCCGGCGAGGGGAGGGCGAGTCCCGGCCGTCGGAAGCCCCCTTGCCTTCCTTCCTTCCTTCCTTCCTTCCCTGCGCGCTTTCCTTCCCCCTCCTTTCCAACCCACTGGGGAGCGGGGCGGACTTGCACCGGGTCTGGGGGCTCAGAAGGCCGGCTTGGATGGCGGCGATCGGCCGCAAGGTCGTTCTCTGCACAGCGGGGCTGGAGCTTTTGAGCCCCGAGAGAGAGGCTTTCTTCCGACCTTGGAAGGAGGACGACCCGATGCGCGCTTTCCAACGGGGCCCAGCACCGCACAGCAATTCTAGGGGCTGGAAGGTTCCTGGAGGTCATCTAGTCCAACCCTCCCTTGCTCCAGCAGGGGCTGGCTTGGCATTCCTGGTTTGCGCGTTCTGGGGGCGCCCCCTTTTGGAAAAGAGCCAGGCTTTTGACCGCTGGGGTGGCAGCGCTTGGGGGGGTGGGGGGTGGCCATCACGGCTCTAAGACCAAGCATGACTAACTCTGTCTGGAGTTCCTGCTTTTCCCCAGTTCAAATACAGCAAGGATCATCAAGAAACAACAAATCAATTCAGGAGGCCAACATTTTCCAAAGTCTCGATATCTTTTTTGTAATGTGGTGAACAAAACTGGATGCTGTGTGGCCTTACTAAGGTTTTATAAAGCAGTGCTAATACAGGCAGTCCTCATCTTGCAAGTTCATTTAGTGACCATTCAAAGTTACAACAGGGCTGAAAAAAAGTGATCCGATGCGCGCTTTCCAACGGGGCACAGCACAGCAATTCCAGGGGCTGGAAGGTTCCTGGAGGTCATCTAGTCCAACCCCCGCTTGCTCCAGCAGGGGCTGGCTTGGCATTCCTGGCTTGCAAGTTCCAGGGGCTCCCCCTTTTGGAAAAGAGCCAGGCTTTTGACCGCTGGGGTGGCAGCGCTTGGGGGGGGGGTGTCCAGCCTGGAGCTTCCCCCTTACTCAGAGGGAGGCGAGGGGCTGAGCAACCGGCTAGGAGAAATTTAGGGCCGGGGGTAGTAAAGCCAGCCAGCCACCCACCAACCCGACGTAGAATTGGGGGGGGCAGAGAGGAGCAAAAGCAAGTTTGGAAGCAAAGGCAAGGAGTTTGGCATCAGCTGTTGGCATCAGCTGTTTCACTTCCCTTGGATTTGCCTTGGTAGAAAAGATCAGAGGAGACCACCCTGGCTGGTTATAAATTAAGAGGAGATCCTTTGCACTCTTAAGTGGATTGTGCAAGCTTAACTTTTGGTCTCCTTGTATGTAAGTTTTTGTCCTCTAACTTGACTGCCCTCCTGCCTAATGGGTTGTCCACTAAGGCAGGGGTCTCCAACCTTGGCAACTTTAAGCCTGGTGGACTTCAACTCCCAGAATTCCCCAGCCAGCAAAGCTCCGCAAAGCTGGCTGGGGAATTCTGGGAGTTAAAGTCTACCAGGCTTAAAGTTGCCAAGGTTGGAGACCCCTGCATTAGGAAGTATCACTCCCTGCCAGTCAGGGTGGATTTGATTTAAATTGAGTTGATTTAAATCACGATTTAAATCATGATTTAAATCACTAGTAAAAAGGCTTGATTTAAATCAACTCGATTTAAATCGTAATTTTTAAAGAGCAACTGTCATCTCTGCTACTCCTTTGACCCACTGTTGACTCACCGATAGTCCCAGTGTTGCAGAATATACAGCCTCATGCTACATAACTAAGCTCCATTTCATGCTGAATAAACTAAATTATTTATGTATCTTAAATAGAAAACTATCTTACGATAGATTTTTACCCCCAAAGTTTTTTATTAAGATAAATTTGATAAAAATCAAAAAAATCCGATTTAAATTAAAAAAATCTGATTTTTTTAATTTTTTTTTAAAAAAATCATTGATTTTTATCCACCCTGCCTGCTGGTCAAGGATAGGAGTTTCCAGGCAGATGCCCCCCCTCCCCCCAACAGTTTTGCTCCCCCAATTCAGCAATTTCTATCTGTCTTTAAAAAAATACCATTGCTAGATTTTCTGAGATGGCACTTGTGCCTGGGGGGATTTAGAAAATTGATCAAATGTTTATTGAGCAGAGGTCTCCAACCTTGGCAACTTTAAGTCTGGAGGACTTCAACGCCCAGAATTCCCCAGCCAGCTTTTCCCCAGCAAAGCTGGCTGGGGAATTCTGGGCGTTGAAGTCCTCCAAGGTTTAAAGTTGCCAAGGTTGGAGACCCCTGGTTTAGAGCAGTGTTTCTCAACTTTAGCAGCTTGAAGATCTGTGGACTCCCAACCCTCAGAAGCCGGCTGGGGCATGCTGGGAGTTAAAGTCCACTGGTTTAGGGGCTCTGCAAGAGGAGATTTTTTCTTTGTTTGCCTAACCTCGTCCTAAATTGGCTAAATGATTGTGTGTGGGTGTTTTTTTTGTTAAGTTTGCAAAACCAACCTGCTGCTGTTGGACTGAGGGTGCCTTCCTCCTTTGATTCAAAAGGCAGATTTCCATATTCTCCAAAGGCTGAGATTCTATGTAAAATAATAGAATAATACTCTATGTGGAATATAGATTTCATATAGATGTTGAGAAGCAAAAATGTGAGGGTCCCTATAATATTATATATATATATGTGTGTGTGTGTGTGTGTATAGAATAGAATTAGAATAGAATAGAAATAGAATAGAATAGAATAGAAATTAGAATAGAATAGAATAGAATAGAATTGAATTGAATTGAATTGAATTGAATTCTTTATTGGCCAAGTGTGATTGGACACACAAGGAATTTGTCTTTGGTGTATATGCTCTCAGGGTATATAAGGAGAATAAAATACATTCATCAACACGTTCATATATATATATATATATCTGTCTGTCTTTCTTTCTTTCTTTCTTTCTTTCTTTCTTTCTTTCTTTCTTTCTTTCTTTCTTTCTCTCTCTCTCTCCCTCTCTCTCTCTCTCTCTCTCTCTCTCTCTCTCTCTCTCTCTCTCTCTCTTTCTTTCTTTCTTCTACCAATCTATCATATACAGACCCCTCACATCCTGGACATAAATTGTTTCAACTTCCACCCTCAAAACGATGCTATACAGTAGTGGCCAAAATTGTGAAAACCTTTTGGAAAAAGTGTATTTTTGAGGTTTGATGGCTAATAACATCACTTTTTTTTTTTGGAGTAGTATCATAAAATTATATATCAATGGATAGATAATTTCGTCAAGAATGTAATGCAACAAAGTTTGTTCAATTATCTGTATTCTGTGAAAGGTTATAGCCAAATAACCAGAAAAAGGAATCACAACCTGCTCAGGTTGATATCAGGTAGCTTTCCTTCATCTGATTGTAGACAATGAGCATGAGTGTTTAGAGAGCCAATCAGGTGTCTTCTTCCTTTGGCAATGAGCCAATCAGATCACAGTAGGATTCGTTTATTGGTGTCAGGTATTGAAGCTGAGAAGGAGGACATTTGTTAGTGTGTTATGTGATCGCTATCAAGTTGGTTGGGTTTTTTTTTTTTTTTTGTGTTCTTTCATTTAGTGAGCTTGTAAAAAGTAATAAAAATAAAGTAATGGTGCAAAGAGTTGACTGGTCGCCCAGAAAGTGATGTAAAATAGTATTATTAAGCGAACAAGGCTACAGTTATAAAGAAATTAGAAGAAAAACTGGTGGAAACTTAACCAAAGGTGTCATTTCTAAGTTTTCGAAGAGGTATAAGGAGACTCGGTCACTACAAAACCACACGGGTAAAGGCAGGAAAAGGTGCACAACAGCAAGTGATGCCAGAAGAATTAAGAGACTGGGCCTAACTGACAGAAGGAAATCATCTGGGTGTATGCAAGATGAAATGGCGCAATGCAATGTGAAGTTGAGTGTTAAGGACTGTTTGGTGCAGACTGCAGGAGTTTGGCCTGAAATCTAGAATCCCATGAAAAAAGCCACTTTTATCTCTCAAACAAAAATTGAATTAAATTTATCTTTCCGTTGATATATAATTTTATGGTACTACTCAAAAAAAAAGTTATTATTAGCCATCAAACCTCAGAAATCATCGGGTAGGAAATATAGAAGCATAGAGGGCTGAACGAATAGGCTGAAAAATAGCTTTTATCTGTGGACTGTCAGACTTCTGAATGTAACATAACACTACAATTAGGTTAAATATGATAGACTTGCAGGGCCAGCTTAACGTGCAACATGTTCATACTGATGTAATATAATATAATGTTATATACGTATATGGGAATGTGTGTTAGTTATTACTTATTTGGGTTTAGGGATTCTATTTCTTTCATTTATTGAGCTATTGAGATGTATTTTGTGTTTTGGAGCGGAGGAGGGGGGCTGCACCAAGGGAGGTTCATTCAATTTCATTGTACACATGTTGTGCATTGACAATAAAAGTTTGATTTGATTTGAAAAATACACTTTTCCCAAAAGATTTCCACAATTTTGGCCACTACTGTAGGGCACTACACGCCAGAACAACTACGCACAAAGACAGTTTTTTCCTGAATGCCATCACTCTGCTAAACAACTACCGTATTTTTTGGACTATAAGACACACCTACCTTTTTTCTGCCTCCAAGCAATTTTGCCTCATTTCAGCAAACAGCAAGCAGCCTGCTTTACTTTCATTTTCATTTTCAGCATAGCTTGATTAGCACAAAGAAAAAAAAAAAATCTGCTCCAGCAATTTACCTCCTTGCAGCAAACAGCAGAGGCCCGAGCAAAAGAGCTGAGAGTCGGGAGGCCGATCCAATCAACTTGTGCTAATTAGGCTGTGCTGAAACTGAAAGGAGCTGTTTCTTGTTGTTTGCTGCAAGGAGGTAAACTGCTGGGAGGCAGAGGCCAAAGGGTGGGGGCCAGTGGGTGGGCGGGGCTACATTCGGTGTATAAGACGCACCTAAATTTTCACCCTCTTTTAGAGGGAAAAAGGTGCGTCTTATACTCCGAAAAATACGGTAATTCCCACAACACTGTCAAACTATTTACTAAGACTGTATTCTTCTCATCCTTCCTATTACCTATCTC